TTGTTGAAGTTTTGGAATAGCTAGCCCATTTCTGATTTTTTCTTCATAAGGAATACCCAAGTAACCCTGGTGTGATCATCAATAAATGTGACAAATCATTTAGAACCAGTAATGTTATTTACTCTGAAGGAACCCCAAATGTCATTGTGTATCATTGAAAAAGAATTGGATGATTTGTAAGGTTGATTAGGATATGTGGTATGTAGCTGACAGACTTCACACTGAAAGTTGTTAGGATTTTTATTGAATAATGAGAGAAACAACCCTTTGAGGTATAAAAAGTTTGGATAACCTAACCGATAGTGCCACAACATGCTATTAGTATTTTTATTATTACTGAAGGATGAAGCCACATAAAAGGTCTGATATTGTCTTTTAGAATCATTAGCTTTTAGGATATAGAGTCCTATACACATCTTAGCATTACTAATCATCTTCCCCGAGTCCAAATCCTGAAATTCACACATATTTTATAAAAATTTATTAACACAGTTAAGGTCTTTTGTAAGTTTGCTTATAGACAGTAGATTGCAACTTAGATTTGAAATAAACAAAACAAAATTAAGTGTTATGTCTTTGGAAATAATAACATAACCTGTACCAACCATTTTTGAAAGTAACCCATAAGCAATTTGAACTGTGAAATTTTTATAACATGGGTTCTATTTACTGAATACAAATGCATTCCCAGTCATATGGTCTGAAGCTCCTGAATTCATAACCATGAATTTGATTTTTCTAGTTTTACACTCAAGGCACTTAGAAAATTACATTTGTGTGCTAAAAAACCTATTCCAATAACGCTAGCTCTAGGGTTAAAGATAACCTCCGACGTAGGGCTCTCACCTCTGACACGAGACTCTCGCTTCTGCTGGCCATGCTGGACTCCGAGTTAAATTTTCAAAGGTTTAGATCGTGCTTTGTCACCATTAAGAAATCTATAGAATAAAACTATTTTATTCTTCTATATTTTTCTTATTACGATACTAAAATTGCATGAAAATATATAGGCTAAATACTCAATATTCTCATCCTTAAAACCTAAGATTTTCATGCATTAAAACAACTAATCAAAAAAGAAATTTACTCTCTACACATAATAGGAAAATATCTAATGAATTTGGTGTAACTACCCAAATCACTCTTTATTCTAAAAATAAGAGACTTAACTAAAATAGATAAAGTCAACTAATCAAGTAATACCTTCCTGACATTGTTTCCCCCTTCAAAACTAGGAGGCAAATCCATATAAATTTCTTCATCTAACTCCCCATTAAGAAAGGCATTCTTGACATCCATTTGGTGTAATGGCCAATCAAGATTAGCAACTAGTGAAAGCAGTACCCTTATAATATTCAATTTAGCAACTTGAGCAACGGTTTTAGTGTAATCTACTCCAAAAGTTTGAGTAAATCCCTTCACAACTAAGCAGGTCTTGTGTCTCTCTATTCCACCAGTTGAATTATACTTAATAGTATATACCCACTTACATCTAACTGGTGTTTTTCCTTTTGGTAACTCCACAACATCCCTAAGTCTCATTCTTTTTCAATGCTTTTGTTTCTTCGAGTAAAGCAGCTTCCCATTATGGGATTTTTAAAGCTTCATGAATATTTTGTGGGATTTTAGTTATCTCAATCTTTTCTATCATGGTACGAAATGCAATAGACAAACAACTGTAGGATAGATAATTGGACAACAGGTGTTGAGCACAAAATCTTACACCTTTCCTAAGTGCTATAGGTATGTCTAGATCATCAAGTGAAGTATTCATTGGTGATGGTGTGGTAGGCACAACCTTTTCTAATTCAGAATTTACTTGCAAATCGATATTCACCAGTGATAGTGTTATAGGCTCAGCATTTTCTGATTCAAAATTTACTCGCGGATTAGATTCTTGACAATGCAGCTGGGGCACAAAAGTTTGTACTTCTTGAGGCTATGGTTTACGTCGTGAATAAACACGGAGTTCTGTTTTTTGTTAAGGATTAAGTATGGATGAATTTGTCCCTGTGTCCAAGTTAGCTTTTATTGGTGACACAATAGGAATAACAGATGTTACACTAAGTGGAATGGAAAAATCCCAAAGCCTATCTTCACTTCGTATCTCCCCTTAAAGAGTTGGTTTTGGGTAAAAATGTTGATTTTCAAAGAATGTGACATCTAGTAAGACAAATGTTTGTTTCATGGATGGACAATAGCACTTATACCCTTTTTGAGTAGGAGAGTACTCAATAAAGATACATTGTATAGCTCTAGGTTCTAGCTTCTCACAAGATGAACTTTTGTTGCGAACAAAAGATGTGCAACCAAAGACTTTTAGGGGTAAAGAAGTAAACAACCTAGTTTGTGGATATAATTCAAGTAACATGTTCACTAGTGTTTGGAAATTGAGAACTCTACTAGGAAGTCTATTGATCAAGTATGAGGCTGTTAAAATAGCATCCCCAAAAAACCTGAAGAACATTTTTAGTAAACATGATAGCATAAGCAACTTCTAATAGGTGACGATTTTTACATTCTACAAACCCATTTTGTTGAGAGTGTTAACAAAAGAACTTTGGTGAAAAATCCCATTTTCTTTTAGATAATCACCAAGAATTGAATTGAAGTGTTCCTTCCCATTGTCTGTGCAAAAAATTTGGATTTGGGCTTGAAATTGTATTTGAATCATTTTGTGAAATAGCTGAAAAATCGCCTTAGCATCAAACTTTTCTTTTAATAAGTAAACCTGACAAGCTCGTGTGTGATCATCTATAAAAGTCATGAACCACCTAGTTTCAATTATGTTATTTTCCCGAGAAGGTCCCCAAATATCATTATTAACTAAAGAAAAAAGGTTTAGAAATCTATATGGATGACTAGGATAAGGAACATGAGCGTGTTTGGCAAGTTGACAAGTTTCACAATGAAAGGAATGGACATCTTATTTTTAAAAAGAGAAGGAGAAAGAGTTTTTAAATATGGAAAACTAGGATGTCCTAATTTATTGTGCCATAACATAATTTCACTAGAAATAGGAACAAATTCACTATTTAGAGTCAAAGCTTGTTTATTCACTTGTTGAGGATCCTTAAGGTAGTACAAGCCGTCATGCTCCTTAGCATTACCAATTATCCTCTCCGAAAATAAATCTTGAAATTCACAATATGAAGGGTAGAACTTAGCCACACAATTCAAGTCCTTTGTCAATTTACTAATAGACACTAAATTACATGCTAAACTAGGAACATGCAAAACCGAAAACAGTGTCATATTAAAAACTTTAATGTTTCCTTTTCCCACAATAGCAGATAGTGATCCATCAGCAATACAAATATTAAGGTTTCCAAAACATGGATTGTATGTTAAAAACAATTCATGGCATCAAGTCATACGGTCGGATGTCCCAGAATCTATAATCCAAGACTTCTTAGAATCTGATTTTGCACCCAAAGCAAAGGATAATTACCTTTTTGTGCAATTGTGTACTTTGGAGTAAGTGCAATAATTGGTTTAGAAGTCACCTATGATCTACTCTCTTGAGAGGCGCTAGTTATGGCTGTTTTGGCCATTAGAAAAGAAAAAACAACAGCAAACCTTGCTTTGATACCATGAAAACAGAGATAAAAAACAATGTTCTCTCAATATTATTTTATTAAAAAGAATCCCCAAATATATAGAGGAATTGATATGTACAAAGAAACCCACAAAATCAAGAGACAATCATCCAAACATAGAAACAAATAAAAGATCAAATATATAAATCCCAACAAATCAAGAAAATGATCCTAATTTGATATCCCAACAAATTAGGAAATTGATCCTGATTTGATACATAATCTGTTAACAATTTTACCCCACGCTTATTTGATAGCTATTTGCAAAGTGGATAGGTCACTAGTTACCAGTTCAATCATTCATACTAGAAGCAAATTAAGAAGCAACTGATGAGATGCTGAACTCAAACTTTGTTTGGTAAGAGAGAAAAATAACAAAATTGGGAGAGAAGAGTGGGAAAGAAAGACTTTAATCGCGCTTGTTAGGAGAGTAAAAGGAAACAAAATAGTGATTGTCATCTTTTTTACTTGCTAACTTACATCAACCTCCCAAATTGCAAAGATTAAGGAGAAAAACACTTGGACAGGTGTGTCTAATATATACCTTTTTCTAAAGTTTTGCTCTTTTATCTCCACTAGAAAGGATTTAGCTACAAAACTTGAGATTTTTCAATTTCCTTTCCTCACTTTTCAATTCCAATAAGCAACAGTTATAAATATAAATTTTTCTTTCCATCCAATTTCCATTCCTCTTACTAAGAACACTAGTGGAAAGGGGAAAATTTTTGTTGGCACTTCTTTCACTTCTCTCTCAACTTTCTGCCTTTCCACTTTTCCATTCTTATAATGAAGAAAAGCTTTAGGAAGAAGCTTAGAAATTAGATCAGTTCTGTTGCTAAAGCTATCAACTTTAATTTGAGATGCTGAGGTGCTGGTTACAATTACTGATTTCAAAAAAATTTTTTGTTAAAAATTGATTTTGTTCCTTGGTATAAAAATGAGAAGTTCTTTTTCCCTAAGTTAACAGGCAAGTCATATATGAAATTCCTCAAATTATTAGAGTTGATGCCCACAAGCTATCTACTAACAAGTATATAGTTAATAGTAATGATGCTTGGGTAGATTCAAACAAGCTTACACCACTCAGTGACTATCTCAGGCACCAAGAACCCCAAAATTTTCTTTATCCATCTTAGAAGCACCTACTCCAACTTCCAAGGAGACATGATGCATGTAATGCACAGAGATTTTAATTAACTTCATATATAGAAAACTTCAAGAAAGCTTAGTTTCAAATGATTTTAGAAACAAAAATAATAAGGACTCTTAATTAAGAATAAATTATTTGAGAAATGACATTATGGAAAATGGACAAAGATTAAGGAGTCGTGGGGATAAGGCCATGTAAGATGATTATCTACATGTAGGTAGAGCATTTATGGAAGTATCAATTTCACGAACCTTCGCACATGCATTTCGTGCATGATTCCAATCTATTTCGTGGTATGGGATAGTATAAAGCTCCTTCCTTAAAGACAAAACAGTTGGTGTGATATGGCCAACAAACCTCTTTCCATATAAATAAGACATAGGCAAATAGACCATCCGGCAATGACACCACATCCTTCCTGTAGTCAAGGAAAAAGAAAATTATTCTTTTGTTCTATTTGAAATAGAACTAGTTAAAATACAAATTCAACAAAATTTCTAGATGGAAATTACTGATTATATCCACTCCAAAATTTTCAGCTGAAAAGTATGCATCAAAGGTGCATTATTTGTAATTAGTCCAAACATCCCACCAAAAAATTCGCAAACTAATAAAGTCCTTGCAAAAGCAAAATATCATTAGAATAAAAGTTTCATAAAGTTCTGGTTTATCACCTAGTTCAGCTCAAACCCATTACTTTCATTTCATTGATAAGGAAAGGTATGAAGGGAATAAAGACCAATTTAACAGAAACTATGATCAAGATGACACTGCAGTTTCTTAATTTAATTATAGAGGTAAGTTAAAGTGGCTTTTGTTAGACATATTCCCTCAAAAACCAATTCTGTTTTTATTTGTTAGATAAATAAATAGCTATTTTAATTATTATTTCACATATACTATATTGAATAGGTATTTTAGTTACTTCTGACATATATGATATGATCAAAATTCATTGTTTGGTAACCTTGTAGAAGTGTTATGCTAATAGTTGATAAACTATTAAGCTAATAGTTCTTCAATTTTTTGCTTACAAAAAAGTTGTTCTAGGCTGTAAATATCACAATATGTTCAAAAGCCTAAACTTTTTGTGCCTCTATCACAGACAATGTTCTCAAAGGTGCACTCACTTCAGAGAATTTGTAGACAGCATCATATGGAACTATTGATACCAATAAAGAATTTGTAGCTTTAACATTAAGCAAAACAGGGGGCCAGGCTATTATACCATATTGCCAAGTACCTTTTACTATTTTTAATTTTTTGACAGATTTTCTCTAGTGTTTTACATTGATTTTTTGAATTACAATCCTACATGAAGCATTTTCTAGCTACCAATAGTCCCGTAGATGGTTAAGAAATTAATTCAAAATCCTGGAGCTCCTTCAAAAGATCTAAATACTCCTGCCAATGTGGTAAGCACACTCGCCACTACTCTCCAACACCATAAACATCATTTGCATCCACAAAACGTACCTACACCAAAAAGCCATCAAAAGTAACTCCAACCAAACCCAAATCCATTCTACAATTAACAATTACTATCAAAGAACCTAAAGTTTCAAAGATTCAATAGCAAGTGTTCACATAAGGGCATTCTAAGAAAAATGAGAAAATCAGGGGTAGCATTGTCCGACTTAAAAAAGGATCAACCAACAATGATGAGGAGGGAGGCAGAGTACATAGTTTGGGTATGTCAGAGAGAGATCATGAAAACATGGGGAAAAAAGGAGAAAAAAGAAAAGAAAATTTGGGAAATTTTAGCCCATTGGAGCTGATTCAATGCTGATGTGGTGGTTGACCAAGAACCAATTATATTTCCGAATTATTTCAAGTTAGATAGCAAATTAAATATATAAGCATGTAACATATATAATCAAATTTACCATTTGATTCCCAAAAAGGAATTACCCCCACAAAAAGCATTTGATTCTCTAACCATTATGATTTTAGCAATTATCAAACTATGGCAAGGGATTCAAAACTAGTACTGCATAATACATGCATAGATTGAATTTATATATTTATTTACCTAAAATAACATTCTTTTCATAAGAAAGTAATTTAAATACAAAAGCAACAAGCTTTAGAATAAGTACATGTCTAAGCCTGCCTAGAAATATGTACCTCAAAATACATTGAAATTGTATTATGGAAATAGAGTGGCAAGAACCTGGATGGAATGGAAGCATATAAGGAAGAAGCCATATCTCTGGAGGCAAGGGATTATTGCCAGACCATTCAAAGGCACCAAGCACCTGTTACCACCAAGCAATGCAATTATAATCAAACAGATGTCCAAGTGAATAGCAAACAGCGTAACCAACATGAGAAGGGTTAAGTTCTAACTGAAAGCCACATTTTCCCCCATGATGTTATATAAGTAGCACCACCATGACTCAAAATCCAATCTCTTCCTCTCTCCATCGCCCCCTGCCCATCATTAGCACCTTCACCAAGCAATCTTAAAGAAACATAACTCAAGACAGTACCAAACATCGTGCTTGGGCCCTCAATGTGTAAACCCCATCCACCATCTTTGTTCTGCAATTGCATATATATAACCATAGTTTAAAAACTTTACGGCCAATATGCAAGAATGAAATAGAAGCAAAACGCTCGCCAAAAACTTGAAGAGCTTTTATTAACTAGCAAAAACATCCAATATAAATTAATTGCCTGATGATTATAGAGATAACGACACATCTCCTTCTTATGCTCTTCTGATAAGACTGCATTCAGTGCCTCGGTAATAGACAGGGTAATTACCTGACGCATCACATGAGAAAAAAAATATATATAAATCACTTCTTTTAAAAATTATAATATTTAACAAGGTTTTGGAAAGGTAAATGGAAAACTTTCTACCAGCCATGTCACACACAAGATAAGTCAAACTGATGTGACCAGGAATATCTTCAAATAAAATTTAGTACTTACCAAGCCAGGCATAAGAAACATTGGACCTCCATAATCACCTGGCCAATGCCCATCATGGGCCTGGAGAGATGAATGAAAATTTATAGCTCTTCGTAATGTATTAGTGACCATCCCTTCCATAATATTTTCCGATTCCTCAACTTTGACCTGGGGCAAAACCACAGGAACTGGGTTCTCCGTGGAAAACTGTATTATGGGGGAAAAAGAGATTAGATAATAAAATCAATAACTAAAGAACAGTAGGCATAGTTTGTAAATCACAGTTGAACTTCAGGCCTGCTCTTTAAAAGTCAGAACCATTTATTGTTCAACTTCAGGCTTGCTCTTTAAAAGTCTCATCTCTTCATCAACTCTCAAATGCTCTGAGATATGAAATTGTCTAAAAGGTAGTAGGATAGAAACAGGAAAACAATCAAATATCATTTCCAAGATCTTAGTTTCCATCTTTCTCTTTCTTTTCCTTTTATTGTTAATATTACAACTTTTGTTGCTTTGCAATTTGGCTGTTGCATCCAGTATGAACTGAATACACTCTTAGTTTGGGTTTTCCCTGTTCTGCCAGACTTTTCTTGGAGTTTCTAGTTGTCGTCCAAGTATTTGTTAAAGACCTAATAACATACAACTGGTTTTAACCGGATTAGGAATGCTAACAGTATATATATAGATTTGAGTGTACTCTGTCAACGGGAGATACAGAATTGCCCACACATAGCTGTTGAAGACTACAACTGTATAGCATACCAAACTATCTAATGTTGACTTTTTTATGTAATGAATGGTAAACAAACCCCATCTAGGCTAGTTTAGCATTGTTGTTGAAATTAGCTTTTACATTCAAAATCTGTTTTTTACCCAACTTCAATGCTAAACACAAAAAAAATAAATAAATAAATAAAAACTGTCTGGTTTTCAAATCCAAACAAAAAAGTAGTGCTTTTACAATGAAAAGTGTGTTTGAAATAAAAAATCACTATATTATCTCTATATTTTTAATATTTTATTATTTTATGCATATCTTTTTAAATATTTTAATTATCCACAGCACTTTTTCAAAACAATATCAAACACTTAATATTTCTAATCACACTTCTCTCACACACTTTTTAAACCACAACAATAATATTAAACCATTCCTCATATTCTCACTTGAAGAAACAGCTACTGAATCATGAAAACTAAATACAAACTTGGAGAAGATGGACTAACATGAATCCATGAGGTAAAATAAATAAATAAGTAATGAGTGAAATTGATTGTACACCAAACATTATGAATTTTGGTTTTTTCTTTTTTAATTATGGAGCCTGCTTGGATTTAATTATTTGGCCCATTTTTAATTAAAAAAATCCAAACAGTAAAAAGCAACTGGAGCAATGATATTAATGATGCTGCCTAACACATTATTATCATCATTATTATTATTATTATTCTCTTCTTGGAATTAACGACGCGTTTGATGGATGGCACGGAAAGAGAGAAGAGATGATTTACCTGCAAGCGCATAAGTAGATCTAAGCTGTGCTTTTTTCGGAATCGATTGTTGGTGAAGTTGTTGCGAGCCTTCTCAATCTCCATTAGCTCTTCTGGAGATCCCAGGTTGGGATCGAACTCCCAAATCTGTCGGCCCACGTTATTGTTCACTGTTCTCAGCCATGGACTCCCTCCCTCCGCGATTCTCAGCTTCCACATTTTCAACCCACTTCTAGATAAAACCAAAGCCAAATCTCTCTAATTTCCTTCCTTTCCTACCCCAGCATTTGATAGCAAAGTGGGTCGTAAAATACAGTATTAAGATTAGGAAGAGAAAAGCAAGTCTGAGCATAGAAACTCGTGCATGCAATGGAAAGCAACAACACTAGCATGTGGCGAGCAGCAACGGCTCATGCTTATAACCAAAACCAAAATCAAAATCAAAATAATATTATTTTACAATTAATTAATCACCTGACGACCACGTGACACCACCCCACGCCACGCCACACCACGTACAATCAACCAGTCTAAAAAAAATCAAAATATGTCTGAGATGTTTATACTCTTCAAAATTTTGAAATTTAATCTTTCTGCTTTAGTTTACAAAATCTCGGTTTTATGTTATTTTGATTAATAATTTCACTTTAATCATTAATGAAATTAAATTTTTTTTTTAAATGGCTGACGTAGTTACTAATTTCCTTACATGTCATTTCATTTTGTTAATGTAATATTTTAATTGATTGTTATTATTTTTTGATTACCTGGACTAAAATATCTATCATGTGATTTATGTATAAATCTATATCTGTATTATAATTTTATTTTATTTTTTAAGTATTATTTTTTAAATATTTTACATATAATATTATTAATAATTTTTTTATTTTTTAAATATCATTTTTTAAATATTTTATATATAATATTATTAATTAAAAAAATAAAACTAATAGAAAATCAAACAAAAATTGTTTAACCCTAAAACACCCAACTTCTCAAAAAACCAATTCTTTACTAACAAAAACTTTTCTCAAATCTCAAAATCAAAACATAACTTCTAACTTGAAATCTTGAAATTGAAAACTTAAAAATTTTTTATTGAAAACAAAAGAGGATTTGACTTCTCTTATCAACAAACCATAATGAAGAAATTTTCAATTTCTCTTATTTAGATTGGAAACAAAAATAAGTGCGATGAATTGTTTTGATCATTTGTTTATCACTAAATCTACTTTGCACTTCGTTTGTAATCTCATTTTCTCTTTTTCTTACAAATATTTTCATAGAACTAAAGAAAGATATTTTTGAATACTTTAAACATTATTGCTATATTGAAGAGATTGATTGACAAATTAGGAATATACTTTTTATTAGAATTGGTTTTTAAAATTTTTTACAATTCTACATTGATTATGTTCCCATACATGTGCTCCGGTTCAACATAGTAATCTTTTATTCCAACACCTTGACTATCTTATTTCGCTTTATGATTGAGTTGAGCTTGTCTGAAACTAAAGAAATTGAGAAAAGCCGATGGAAAACTATAACAAATTCAAGAATGGTAACTTTGTCTTTTTTTGTTCAAATATATACTTAACATATTGAGTTTAAGGTTTACTAAAAAAGTTAAGAGTTTAAAAATGTTAAACGCTAAATTGGCAACATATTCATATATGTTTTATTAACTTTGATATTATGTTCGAAAGTTGAATTAAAGTATCCTTAATTTAACTTGTGTCTTAGTAATCTATGATTATGGAGGCAAGTTAGTGTACTATTGTTGTGGATTAAAGGTTCCTCTAGTCACTCCAATAAGTGATGATAATCCTAGAAGACATTTCTTAGGCTAGAGCGACTATTAGGTGTATCTGAAATAATCATGAATATTGAATATTGATATTGAGTCTAAAGCATAGTCTTAAAGTTTGATTTAGAATAAGATTGTGTTTGGCATGATAATAAAATGTATAATTGAAATGTATGATATATGCAGGCAAATAGAGTTGATTTTTTACTTAGCACGATAGCCTAATTTAGGATGAATAACTAAAATTATGAATTATTGATTTAAAAGGCCAACAAAGGTTTAAAAGGAGAGAATTCAATATTGAAGGATGAGAGCAAAGCATTAGAAAAATGAATGTTAGGTTGAAGAGTGAAAATGAACGTAAAAGAAAAATATTTAACACTGATGATTTATTTGATGAAGTTGTTGTATTGAAGGCTAAGAATGATGTGTTATATGCAAGATTGAAGAATGTTATGTTAAATGCATAAATGGAAGCAAAGTCAAAGAGGCTGTATAAAATGAGTTTGATGTTTGGTTTCTTAATGTTGTTCTATTTTGTATTTGGAGTAAGGACGATATGATTAGAAATGTTATGTTGGCTCTACCATGAGCAATTATATATGTATGAATGATATATTGTTTAATGATATGCAAACTTTTTCTATCATTCAAGTTATATATAATATAGAATTATGATTTGGTTGATGATAATATGCCTATTTGCATTTGAATTTCCTTCATATAAAATATGGTATGAATAACACAAAACTATGTATGATCCATTGATACTATAAAACATAAGATGATTGCAACCATGAAGCTATATATTTTTTATTATTACTTTTTAAGCCTGTAAATGCACAGATCACTTTCAAATAATAATGTAGTGAGTGAGTATCATTCTTTTAAGGATTATGTAATGGGTAATGAAAATCAAGTACCAAAAGTAGTCTTTTTGCCTTATATTTAGACAGATATAAAGTGGATGGAGATTGGTTAAAATAAAATAAAAAGATATCAAAATTGTATGAAAAAATGAGAATAGGTCAAATGGGAAAATAGATGGCAAAAGTGAAGCCAATAAATCATCAATGGTCAAATAAGGTAATGTAACTTGAGAAGCATAAAAAGAGTGCACTAAAATTATAAAGGCTGATTAAAATGCAACCTAAGATGAATTCTTGCTAGCGTTTGGCTGAATAGAACAAGAAATGAACAAGCATGTTGCAATAATGTAAATGGAAAGCAAGTAAACCGAAAGCTTTAAACAAAACTTAGAAATGAATTTGAAATTTAGATTGCTTGAAACGTAAATGAAAGAAAGCTTTGAAGAAAACTTGAAGAGAACTTGTATTGGAAATAAAAAAACTTGAAAACAAAAAAGATTTGGCTAGTCTATCACCCTAGCCTAATCAAATTAAAAAAAATACAAGAAATGTAACTATAAAAATCAAACTATAAAAGAAAGAAAGAAAGTAGAAAAGTAGGATGCACTACAAATGACCTAGAAAATTTTAGTTATAGTACAAGGCTAAAGGTAGGAAGATGAACCTATACACTTTCACCTTAGCTAAAACTTATTTAAATTCAAAAGTGATCTTGTTTAGCTAGAGTGGGATTGTCAACTGGATAGGGGGCTTGTTGAGGTGGAAACTTGTGTGGCCGAATGATGAGCTAAGATTGGTCCATTTGTGTCATCTTTGCTTAGGTGTAATGCCATGTCAACCACATTTCAAATTTAAATGGAGATATAGGTAAGATACAGCTGGTTTCAATTTGTCTTTATGATTTTTCCTTGATCTCTTTCACATAGTTTCACACTCTTTTGAATTTTGAAAACTTCTCATTTAACAGTCTCATTTGCTTTGGTCAAACATGTTTGCATGATATTTTGGGCTTTTTGGTTCGGCATGAATATAGGTTGGGTATTGCCACCTTTGCATGGATTTTGGCTTTACTTTTGCATTCATGGATGAATGTAACTCAGTCTTTGAGAGCATGGGTGGTCAATTGGTCATGTAAATTTCTTTGGGTTTTGGTCAAATAGCAGCTTATCACCTTTACATGGGTTACAAGGCTTTCATGCATAGCCACCTTTATTGTCACCTTTGCTTGGTTTGCTTGATTCTTCAAGCATTTTTAGTATAATTATCCAAATTCTTCATGCAAACCCTAAAAATAAGAATTCAAATACATTAAGGTAGAAAATGTAAGAATTCACAAAATTTTTCCAAATTTCAAGCAAAAGTGACCTATGAAAAACCATAATTTTTATAATTATCATACACCCACACTGAGCTCTTTACTTGTCCTCAAGCAAAATGATCTCAAATTAACATGCTACAATTAAAATATATCCATTCAAAATCATAGTCTCATGAGTTCTTAATCATGCACTATGGTATGATTTATGGATAGTTATAAACATAGAACGTAAAATTTATTCAAGAGTAACATGTCAATTTCTTGCAACTTTCATGTGTGTGAGTTTAATCTATCTCTATTCAATGCATGCAATCTAAGCAAATAGTATGTAAAATATGCCATCACATATAAATTCAAAGATAGAGCATACTTCAAAAGTTTACTTTCCTCATTCCATCTCTACTAATGTAGACTTACATACTTAACTCGAGATCATTAGGTCTTTATTGGCTTCTAATTTAAGGCTTGGGTTAAGGTATGTGATTTGGATATTTTACAAAAACATATATCATTCATAATAATAATGACCAAAGGTAAAGATATCATTCTCATGAGGATTAGTTAAAGAGATTCTTAGTCTAAATACCTTTTATCCTCACAATCCATCTAAAGTTGGCTTAATCAAAAGGTTGACACACAGCTACACTAATGAGAACAGGTGAAGAAAATAATAGACAAAACATCATTCTGGCTAATAGTAAACTTGCAACATGCAAAACAAACAACTTGAAAATTTGACAAAAACAGTAGCTAAAATGAATTGCATTGAACTTAACATGATTAAAAATGTAAATCTATTCTAAAAGCTAAAAATAGCAAATTTAACTAACAAGTAAAATAGTAACTAGAGGATGTAAACTGAAATAACTAACTAGTAACCGAAAATAACTACTTTAACTATCTTTCAAATTCTAACAAAAGAAACATCTAGAAACTTCTTTGAAATTGATTCAAACAAACTGTAAATTGTAAGAACAGAAAGTAAACTAAGATTAAAACACAATGGGAAAGCAAGCAATGAAGAAAAATTGCTTGAATTAACAAGAACAAGTAAAATCGAAAATTAAATTTCAAATTTGGAAATTATTGAATCTTGGAGAAAAAAATTAGATCTATATATCTATATATCAAATGAACTGAAATTGAGCTAAAATAACCTAGATCTACAAGTTTACTATCTAAATCAATAATGAAATCGTAAGAAACAATCAAAATCCAAGCTCAATAAACTTAAACAAAAACTAGTTGAAGTAAAGAGAAAAATAGAGCACTTATGAGAAAATCATGGAATTAAAAGCTAGGAATTGAATCTAAATAAGTAAACACATGAATTAAGAAAAGTGAAAAGTAAGAAAAGGGTATACCAATCACATAACTAGGAGAGAAGAGTCTTGAAGTGTTATCACTCACTCAAATTTTAACTTTACCACCAGAT